TGATGGTGTGCGGTCCTTGGTTGTTGTCTTGATACAGCGGAATTTGACCAATCTCAGGTGATTCTAGGAGATATCAGGTGACTCTGAATATCCAGTAACCAACTGATTCCTTTGATTGATCAAGCAGAGCTAGCCGGGCTCATAACTGTTGGAACCACACACCACACTAGTGCCCAATTGAGAAGATTGATGGAATACCAATCAATAAGTGGATTAATTGAGGTCCGAGGTCTGACCTCTCAAGAAGAGAAAAGAGGGGGGTGGGTATCCCCAACTCTACATACATATGCCAAGGAATCAGTGGCCCCTGTTATCTCATATGACTCATGTCACATGATGCCAGGGCACCCATGTCCTTCTGTCCAAACATAGCGCTAGACTATAATTCTACCGACAACCTGGAAGCTCTCACGGCCCGCTCGCATATGTGGGGTCCGGCGGTCTACAGACTACCGAGCCTCGCAGAACCAAACAACAGCCAAGTCGCATAGAACAGATTTTGTCCAACACCAGAGCACATTTCATCACTAGAAGCCCGAACAGCTGCTCGTTACTGCGCCGTGCTGGAGAATTGCTTGAAGAGATAGCCACAGCCGTTCAAGAGAAGTACACAAGCACTGCAGTGCAGCACAGCACCGCGCATTAGGACGTTACGTGCACACAGAAGTACCAGGGCGAGACAGTCCTCATAATCAAAGAACAAGTCACCCTCGTCTACGATAGCGAGCAGCATTGGAGCATCTGCGAGCACAGTGCCCTTCTCAGGTCGAGAACGATCCGCCAAGATCACGCCTAGCACGCATGGCTCTTCGCATAGGTGGGATCTGGATCTACTATAACGGCAAAGCCCGAAGCCTCTAAAGCATACCATATTGCTAAGGTAATGAGACTTCGGGCAGCTGCTTTCGCCGCACTTCCTCCAGCAGCCTGTTTATTGTGCTCTAGGTTAGGTCCGACCCTCCTAGGCTCAATAACTTCTATTTGGATTGTTCCTTCGACAGGTCGGCCGCACATTGTAGCACCAAATACTATATCAAGAACCTCAGTAGGAGATTTCAGAGATAGTTAACCAATCACAGTTCTACTAATAGTGTAGCCGAATCGAACCGTCTGCATATACTAGTCCAAATTGCTAGTATTCCTTGGAAGCAATCCTCTGGATCATCGCGATTATCAGATCGAAAGACTGCGGACGAAACTAGATTTCTAGAGTAACCTCAAGAGTGTGAGTGTCCGGTGTTGACAAGTGTGGTAAGATAGACACATTGCATAACCAATGTTTCCAACTTGGGGATTTTTATAGCATCGGTGCGATTGACAACAATCAGCCGCGGCCAATTGTACGATCCAGTATGTGCCAGCTGTAGTCGTGGCATGGATGCCGAAGTGCTCTTTGCCTGTAAGCTGTTCTGATGGTTGGTATGGCGATAGAAAGTACATGTATATGGCATCAGGACTTCTAAAACAAAGCGGAAAACGCCAATAGAAGATGAGAAAAGTGAAGAGTGACGACGGGACAATAAGTTCAAAGTTCGCCAATCGCCATCAGCTTGCGGCGCTAGACCCAATCGGGGCCGGGGCGTGCGATTATGGTAACACTTGTTTGAGCAGCAAGTCGTCTCCTGCCAAATGGAAGTGATGTCGTGTTGAGAATTGAGCGCGAGATGCTCGCGCCATTGATCTTCCTGTCCTTTCTACCACCTCAGCATCCACATAACAAGCGACAAAACACCACCATCTCCATGTGCCCTCCTCCATCGATACCGCGTCGCGGACGTAAACACCGAGCATGGACTTCCTGAAAGCATGCACCACCAACATATACGCCGTGGAGAACGTGGGCCAAGTCCACTATGTCTTTTTCAAGTCTCGACACGACTCCTCCTCGGCTGCTGAGGCTTGGTCTCGTCTGCAGACGGCCGTGGCGCGCCTGCGATCCGAGAACGTGCTATGTGCTGCAATGGGACTCAATCTATGCGTGTTTGGAGATGTCCGCAGCAGCGATGCCAGGACACTCGCAATCGATTTTGATCAGCTTGAGGAGGGTGCCATAGAAAGCGCAGCAGGGGAATTGGGGTCGATGAGGGATGCCTTCATGGCCGCTATCGAACTATCAATTGCCCACAACATGGCTAAAGATCCGGGAATCCTGCATGTTGGGCCTTGGACTTGGCTGTACAGCAGTGGAGGCGATTACGAGGTGGGAGAAATGGATAGCACTGTCATCAGTCTACGCACCAGGGTCACGGCAGCAGACGGCCTCTATCTCATATCAGATGTCGCGCCGGCTACTTGCCGTATCGTGGATTCGACCCGTTATGTTTCGAATTGCGAATGTACATTGGCACCGTTTGGTAGACCTGCCCGACTCCTGTCGATAAATTCTCCAAAGACTCCGGTGTCAGACGAGGCTTGGAGGACAAAAGTAGCAGAGACGCTGCAAGCACAGGCTCTCTGCCTGCCCGAAGACACCAAGTGGGTGAATGTGGAACTTCTGGATCACACTGATATCGCGTGCTCCTGGCCCCTACACTTTTGTCTTGCTTCGGGTCAGCGACAAGGCGCACTCATCGATACCTTTTCCGATCATGATTGGAGGCGATGGTTCATTAGTACTGAAGAGGGTGCCATCTTCCGAAACCCCCTGGCTATGTGCGAGGAGTGGTACAAGGGCTCCGCTGACAGACAGCGTGCGAATGAGGCTCCAGTTGTGAGCGAGCCCAAGGAAGCAAATATCACAGATCGAATAGGTGCCAGAGTTATACCGGATGCGACATCTGGTGACGATACGAACATGGTCATATCCCCTTCGTTCGCGCAAAGGAGCGTTGATCACCACTCAACGATGGCTGGGATCTACCCAACTCCGCCTGACGGCTTCGCTCCGGGTCAGCCTAGCGCTCTGAACAGTGTTGTCACGCCGCTGGCCACGCAGCCAGAGCTGAACAGCTCAGTTGCCGAGGCCTATGCACCAAATGACGAGCTACAACCAAAGGCGGCTTCGCGTCCTGCGCCTTCGAACGAACCTGGTGATCATGAGCTTGCTCAAGAGGAACTATTTGCTGATGACGGCGGTATGGCGTTCGGAGATGCCGAAATAGATGATGCCGAGTTTGATTTTTTCGATGAGCCGGACGATGGGTTTGTGGAGCATCAAGCCGCCCAGGATAGCAACATGCCCGATGTCAGCACTTACGAGGATACAGAAGTTCTGGAGGCAGTGTCGAACCTAGCACAAGACGAAGAGGGAAACCATGATCCGCCAGTAGGAATACCGCCAGTACTGATGCCACAACAAGGTCTCAATGACCCAACGCCCATGCCTATGGACACCGAAAGTGATGGCCTGCAGTCACAGGAACCTGCAGGTAACATAAATCCTCCTATCGAGCATCAGCCTTCACTCGTCCACAGGCCTTTAAGCCCATTTGGAATCCGTGAAAGACTACTCCCACCTCCGGTACCAGCAAGCCATTCTCAGCCTCAAAGTGGCTCTTGCGGCAGCCGCCACGACCGCAGGAGCAGCAGTTTCACCCCAATCACGTTTCGGGACGGCGTCAGCGCTACGCTGCAGTATGGTTCCGTCCCTAAGCCCCAGAACGTGGCACAGATCGACGCAACTGGTGGCAGTATGGGAATCGGGTTGCATGCTTTGCAGAAGAAGCACCGACCTTTCGACGACGATGATGACTCCGATGCGGACACTATCAGTGACAGCGAAGAAGAGCGCGATGTGACAACCACGGGCGACGTGAGAATAGTGGAGCCTCCGCCGCCTTTGCCGTGGGAAAGTAAGAAACGGAAGCGTCATGGGATACCTCAAGCCGAATTACTTACTTCTGGTCCACCTACATCCGCATGGCTAGATGAGTATGAGGACGAGAAAAAAGACGGCTCACCCTCTGTTGACACGCTTCTGAAGGTGCTGCTAGAGTCTACGTCTCCCGCCGTAAACCTAGACTTGCAGGCTACGTTGACGGCGGAAAAGGCATTATGTGATACGGGCTTGCCTAGCGCGGCTGCTCAACCGGAGGCATTAGAAACACTGACAGGCACGGTGGCCTCTATCGAAACCGCATACAGTCTTACTAAGTCTGATCTCGTCTGCGTTGCACAAATTGTCAGTGAGCAGTCGGTGACGGCTAATCCACATGTCTCTGCCATGCGTCGCCGCTTTGACGATGCTCGTGACGCTGTTGACGATGCCACGTCTGTCACTATACCACGATATATACGAGACCGGCTGTCAAGAGCCATACGGTTGGCGTGCCCGGAAGCAGCCTATTGTGATTTGGCTGACCTCGCTTTGGCAAAAGACGCACCTGCGAGACAGGCGACAGTCCCGGGAAAGATCCCTCAAGGACAGCCGCGGCCACCACAACGGCTTGATAACATACCAACAGGTCCTGATATGTTTCCGCTGCCGGCTCCTTATATCAGATTACATCGAGGGACCGACACTTGGGAGTTGTTGCCTGCTTGCATACCCTTCTGGGAGCCGTTGGGACTTGGACCAGCAGCTGGCCCAAAGCACCTCCGAGCCTTTTGTGTGTTCCCTTTCAACGAGGATCTACAACGCCTGGTCGATCAATTCCTCCGCGATGTAGGTACGGCGTACGAGAGTTGCAAGCTTGGCACGCACATACATCTGCGCAACGTTAGCGAGCTGGAACAAGACAATTTCAAGGACGGACTGGCACCCGTAGAGCTCAGTGAGGATGCGTCTCTCGAGTCTGTTTTGAGGGCATACGCCGCAACGTGCACAGACCTTGGTAAAGCTCTGTCCAGCATTCTTCCAGGAGAAGAGCGAGCGATCGTTGTCTACATTCTCAACCCATTCACAGGACGCGATGCCCAACAGCACCTCTGCGCATGCTTCTGGATGCTTTTTCAAGCCCATCGCGAGCGCACATCCAAGTCACCGCTCGAGCAAGACAACAGCGATATCTTTCTGCAAATCCTGCCCATGAACATGGTGGCTTCATTCGATGCTTTTGTTCCACTCGATGCTAGGAAAATGTCCGTCTTGGCTCGCGAGGTTTACGACCGATGTCCACCCACATCTGCGCCTCTGCTGTCTGATATATCTGCGCCGCTACCAAATCTTGCAGCTCCCACGGTCGAACTCGCTAGCACGGCACCGAAGCGTCTCGGTTTTCAACTGGCGTCCGAGGCGCCCGGAGATCTGCTCTACGAAGGCTCGATCCTTCATCTGGCTTACGCACACAGCTCCGATGGCATGTGGTTGACCGCTTGCTGGATCGACAGCACAGGCAAGCATCAATCCAGCTCTTCTTTTGGTCTAGCAGGACGAACATTTGCAGAAGTGGCGCATGATGTATGGGAATTCACCAGAACGATCATGGCTGCACGTCAAGTTTCCTGGCGCGTCTTCATCGTTGCGCCAGGAGCAGATCTGGACCCATCAGCTGTACAATGTTGGCGCTCAGTCGCCGCAAGGCCTCGCTCACATCCTGTTTGTGTGACATTGTTGTCCACGCAGGAGGATCCCTTTTTGCAGTTGTACCGTCCGTGTGAGTCATCGTGTTATGGCGGTGGCGGCGGCAGCAACGCTGAGGTTGGTGTTTTGACACCTGCTTCTACGCCGCAAGGTGCCACTTTTACTTCTTCTCCTGATGTTTCTGGCCACACTAGCAACGCGCCCCCGACGCCTGCTGCAAGCGAAACGGCGAATTCACTCCCCACAGATGGTACCGGCGATTCCGACGCGCACTTGATGGACATGACTGATGAGACATGGGGCGTGCTTCTGAGTACCAAATTATTAAGCGATCATCATGCGAGCAGCAGCAGCAGAATGGCGCATGGCGTCTTGTTCCAGCGAGGGCCTGCGTCAATGCCTGATAGCGAACACACCGACACGGGAGACAAGCTGCCCTCGCTGGGAGTCAATTTGCACTGGACCATCCAAGTCAAAAGCCAAGGAGGGGTGGATGAGGGTAGTGCCAAGCAAGCAGAATTGACCCTGCGGGATGTGTTGCGGATGTATCGTGGTTTGACTACACTGACCAATGCACGGAGTCTGATCCGTTCTGCTGCTGCTGCTGCCGGAACTGGAAAAAGCATCTTACCTGTGCATGTTGCCATGGCGACTATGGGCGCTGAGGGACTTGTAGGTCTGGCGCCTGTGGTTGATGATATTTCGTAAATGCAGCCGAAATTACCATGTATTGATGGGGGCATGATAATATCATCATCATTCTCCATGCCTGAACTTGATTACTTTTCGTTTTCCATTGTCTATTCTTCCTGTGCACCCGACTACGACGACGACGATGCATACTGTAAGTACATTACCGTATCTTGCTTGAGTAATCACCTCCCCCTTTTTTTTATTCATTTCAACGTCCACGCCACACGTCGACAAAGTTCTGTAGACCTCCTAAATCGTACACGTTGTCCACGTCATTCAGGTTCCACGCACGAGTCCACAGCGCTTCTTGCCCTCGCGGAGGTTTCCCATCTGTGGTCCGTACGAGGACCATGTCGCTGTCAGCAGCAGCAGCAGCAGCAGCAGGTGTGCGATCGTTCCATTCATGATCATCGTCATTAGCGTCATAGTGGTACAATGCGGGATTCTGCTGCTGCTGCTGCGTTGTGTAAATATTACTACTGTTATTACTATTATTCATCGACGATGACGACGACGAGGGAAAGCGTCCTTGTTGCTGCTGCTGCTGCTTTGCCAAATGATGAGCTCTCAAATCTTGTTTTCGTGCACGAAAGACATATCCGTCTGCCATGTCTTCTTTCCACTCGGACCACTTCTGCGACTCGTTGGTCGTCATGCCGGCCCAGATGAGGTAGAAGTGATATGTCAGCAGACCGAGAGGTAAAGATGTCGTCGAGATGGCGAGCATGCCCACGCCGGTGACTGGCAAACCGCCGTAGCGGATTGCAACGACGATTGCATCCCCGATGGTTCCCAGGCGAGCGCGGCTGAAGAGAGGGGTGGTGTGGTCGATGGTGAGATGGGGGCGGAGAATGTACCAGGTGAGATAGCTGCCGTAGATTTGGAGCGTGCCGATGGTGAGGAGGAGGAGGAGGAAGTAGTGGTAGTTTCCGCGTCCGAGACAGTTGTTGACCCAGGGACAATGGTGGTCACATTTGGCGACGCAATGGCCGCAGAAACTGCAGTGCTTGGATCTCGGTGGTTTGACGAGGTGACAGGTCTGGCAGGTCACGTTGGGCTTGAATAGAATGTGGTCGTAGGGATAGTCGGCCATGCGTTGGCGGTGGTTGGCAGGGATGACGTAATGCGCTTTGCATGTGACAGTGAGGTAGGTGAAGGAGTAGGGCAGAATGATCAGGATAGGAACGGGAGCAAGGAGTTCCGCAGGCAGACGATGCACTGTGTCCCAGAGGAAGAGGACAATAGAGCCGGTGAGGAGAGTGAGAAAGATGATCTACGACGACTTACCTTTTAGCGTGAACGAGATGAATAAGGTGAGGTGAATAACAGTTGCCATTCATGACTGGGAGTCGTACCAATACCACGGGATTCTGCTCGTAGAAGAGATATGTGCCCAGTCGCACACTCCGCCGCGTCACGTGTCCGCCCGTCGCCGCGTGATCGAGGTGCTTCAACAGGTTGGGCGTGTGGATGCAGAGGAGGCGGCGGAGCCATCCGATGGGTGTTTTCCGCAGTGCGGGCAGTTGGCCGAAGAGTGCGACAAAGGTGAGAAAGGACAGCAGAAGCACGGCCAGAAGAATGTTTCGCAGCACGCCCATCTTGGTGTAGTTGGTGTCGGCCTCATCCGGGACATGTGCATGTTTGTATGGAGGGAGTAGGGCAGGGCAAGAGTGAGTGGAGGTAGAGTTGGAGGCGTCGCGTCCTTCTTCACCCCGACGCGTCTGTCTGTCTTCACACTTGCCTCATCACCACCCCACTTCACAATCAACCACCAAACCTCATTCTTGTCGGTGCAGCCCCAAACAGCATGGCCGGTGGGCCACCCATCGTGATGAGCAATGCCTCGAGCACAGCTCCTGGAAACACTGTGGGCTCGCTGTTTACTGGCCTCAAATTCTTCCTCGTGCACAAGCTGCCCGCGCGTACCCAATTGATCGCCGACATCGAGGCCAACGGCGGAAGCGTGGTCCGCCTCGAGAAGCAGGCCGACTTTGTCATTGCCGATCATGCGAGAAGAGATGCGCCCACGGGCAGCTACTCCTGGAAACTGATCTCGACTGCCATTGAAGATGGCGCAATGCCCGATCCTGCCGACTACCCTGCCGGTCCACCACCAGGCACCGTTCGTGATATCGCCTCGGGCGTGCCAGGCAAGAGCAAACGGACTGCGTTCACACTGGAAGACGACAAGGAGCTGTGGCAGTGGGTGCAGGAGCAGGCCCCCGGAGGTTATGGAGTCAAGGGCAATGAGATATACAGGCGGCTCGAACAGCGCAATCCGCGCCACACGATGCAAGCTTGGCGTGATCGCTATATGAAAAAGCTCATGGACCATCCGCCTGCCGGTATCAATCTTACCGTGCCAGCAAGGCCTCCTCCAAGCCCTCCCACGGCATTAGATGAGCAGGGTAGTACTCATGGTATACGCACACCTCCTGTCAAACGACGTCGGGTCGAAGCATCGACAGAGCAGGCGGTTGGCGTAGGTGATGATGTAGTAGAGACCTCGGTCGACCAGGACCAAATAGACATGAATTTATTGCTGCAGGAAGCACCGGACATTGAGGACATTGACCAGCAGAGACATGATGAAACCTGGAATGCGTGGTCAATAGCGTATCCACATCGGTCGTCGGGTGAGTGGATTGAGTTCTGGTTGGAGAGAGTCCGACCCAGCTATATAGAGCAGTGTGCTGATCGCAAGGTCCAAGAAGCCGCAGAGGAATTGGATCACGAGCACGAACTACAGGGACGCAAGCGGAAGAGGCGCCGCAACAGCAGACACGACAATGGGGAGCAAGAGTCAGCACACGTACAGTCGCAGCCCGATGCTCAATCAGCAAATGGTGAGTCCGAAGCTTCCAACGAAGAATTGGCTAGTAATACCACGCCTGAACGCTACGCCACCAAAGATCATAGCGCTGCGAACTTCTCCGTCGTCCAGGTCAAGGCCAACGAGTCAGGTCAGGTAGACTCGGATATTTCAACCTCGGACGCGAATCAAGCTGCAACTAGGCAGATCATGAGCCTGCTGGTAGAGCGAGACAAACCATCCTCTAACGCCTCGGCCATCGGCGAGGATGACTATCAAGACGACGTCGACACAGAGCAGACAGACGGCACTGCTCTCACAGAGGCCAACCTTGCCGCGCAGGAGGCTCGATACCAATCGCCTGTTCGCAGAGGTATAGACTTGGCTGTGGATGACCCTGCCAAGGACCAGACTGAAATGCTGGAGTTTTTGCAGGCGCTCTGTGGAGGCAAGCCTGGACTAGCACCTGCGGCTCAAGAAGCTGCATCCTCCTTCCAGCCTGTGTCTCGAGACTCGAGGAAAGTCGAACAAGTGATAGAATGTCTTGAGCAAGTGATGGAAGGTCTTGAGCACATGTCACAGGATGACCTCGATGAAACTATACGTCAAAACATGGACTGGCCATCATCGCCACAACAAGAAAACGCAGTTGAAAATACAGCGCGAGCAGGAGAAACGTTGGATGAGCTGATCACTGCCCATCAGCAGCCACGCACTACTGGTTTCAACGTTGCAGCCAATGCTAGGCCATTTTCGAGAGATGATGGTCATGATGAAGACCTATCTGATCACGACATTGACCTGTCTGTGGCTCTACCTGATCATGGAATGGGCTTTGGACCCAGTTCGGATCACAGCAGCCTGAGAGTCGTGTCAGAAGCGTTGCCGGAACCACAACAATATGCGAACGATGCAAACCGCGCCAATGCTGCCAGAGATGGCGCGAACCGCATGCCTGCTGAAGTGGTCGATATATCTTCTGCATCGCCTCGCAGTTCTTCGCTCGACAGCTCGGAACATGTTGACGATGCGATGGACCTCGCAGACCAAGCCCGTACAGGGAGACTGCTTCAAACGCAAGACATATATAGCGCTGAAACCCAATATGCAGATTTATTCATGCCTCTGCCGCCGGAATTCGATGAAGATGAAGAGTATGGAGACGAAAATCAGGATGCAAGCAACGAAGACGAATTACCAGAGCAGCCTATAGAAAGCATTGAGTACCATGCATCGAGAACACAAGACACGCCGGCGACAGCTACAGAAAGCAGTAAAAACTCCGAGGAGGATGAAGCGGCCGAGCTTGAATCGTGGATGGCCACCATGAAAGTCCGTGGGCACGATGATAATCTCGTGATCGAGGCTCTGAAATGTACCAGTATGAACCTCGGCCTGGCCGAGCTGGTTTTGATGCACGTGAAAGGCGGCAAAGGAATTCCAGACGATGTCCCTGGTGTGTGGACTCACGAAGAGGACGAGCAGGTGGAAGGAGGCAACGCTAGAGCTCTCAGAGTGCTCGAGACGAAACACGGCTGGCCGGCTTGCACCGCGAGATTGCGGTTCTTGGAGAGGTACCGAAACGAGGACTGAGTGAGGCACATCATGACGAAAATCAGTGTAACATCTACTACTATTGCTTTATGAGATACCCCCCCTTTCATCGCGTATACTGTATATGGAGCCCCTTTTCCCAAGAGACACAAGCCCCTTTTGGTAGCAAGCTCATGAAAAATTTCCCCAGCTCACTGGTGCAGAGGGTCCAAAGGCGCCTCATGCTTAATCGTCTCCCACATCTGATCAATCCTCTCCACCGCCCTCGCACTCAACGGGCCCTTTCCAATCTCCTCCAACGTCTCCTCCAACTGCTTGACACTCGACGCCCCAATCAACAAGGCATCCCCCAATTCCGCTTTCAACGACGAATTATATCTCACCCATCGATACGCCAAACTCGCCGGCGTCGTCTTTTCCTCTTGCGCAATACTCGCCCACTGCTCCAATGCATCCACATAGGATGCTTTGGCCGAGAACATGTTGTGGTAGATTCCCCCAAAGGCTGACGCGTTGAATCGTCCTGCCCCTTGGGCAATGTCGGAGCGCGTTTTGGTTAGGAAACCGCCTGCTAGCGGACTGTAGGCGTAGAAGGACATGTTGAGTTTGCGCAGGGTGGGGAAGAGGACGGATTCTTGTTTGCGGGCTGCGGCGCTGTAGTCTGTGATGATGGGTGAGACAGGGGCAAAGAAAAAAAGGGGGGGAGGGCTTTTTTTTTTTTTCTGGGCTGGGATATGTCTGATGTCTGATTGGAATGTACTTACTTCCCTGGTAGACTTGCGGGAGAGGATAGCCTTTCTCCTTGCAAATATTGTACACCTTCTCTACATCCGCAGCTTCATAATTCGACAGACCAAATCTCTTAAAGAAACCGGTTTGATAAACTTCATTGATGGCAGAGAGGGTCTCCTCCAAAGGCGCGTTCGCATCCGGTGCATGGATGAAGAAGACATCGACGGGGCCGCCGAGCTTGTTTCTGCTGTTTTGCGCTTGCTCGAGAATGGCTGCTCGCGTGCCTCCAATTCCTTGCGAGTGGAAACCTCCTGCCGTTTTGGTGTCCAATGTGAAGCGACTCGCTGCTCCGGCCTCGCCGAGGATGCTCTCGCTGGCGCCGTAGATGTTGGACGTGTCGATGGTTTTTACGCCTGCGGCTTCCAATTTGTCGAACGTTGCTTGGAGAGTGGGAATGTCCCCGAATGGACTGCCTGGGTTGATTCCCGCTCCGCCGAATATGACTTTGATTCCGGACATGTTGGGCTATCTATGGATATGGATGTACGTAGACAGTGTAACAAATGTAGGTTCTATCAGTGTGTTTCCTTTTTCTGGGAGTGCTTGATATGTCCCAGGGACGTGCCTTTTTATCAATTGCAAGTGAGAGTTGCATGTTTGCCTGATTTCTAAGCAGTAGTTCTCCGCTCCTAGGCGTGTGCATACGGTAGATGAGTGATGAATAATATATATGAGGGGTGATAGATACCGTTGCTGCTGCTCCTCATGTCACACAGGGGACGACACGGCGTCGTGACAACCGTGAAGTAATGCACAAAGATTATGCAAACCAGCATGGAATGGAATGCCATAGCCAAGGCGGCTACTGTGCCTTACCCAGTTGGGCTAGTCTGTTGCTCTGTGGCTGTGGGCGACAAGGGGGCTGTTTAGAGGACTAGTCACCTGCGCTATAGGAGCTATAAATATACACGGACGACCACTTCTTCACAAAGGACAAAGTTCCACTTCTTCGACATCGGAACCCCGTATACGACTATACGTCTGCTGTATTTGTTATCCCTCTATTTTTTGTAGCGCCGACGTATCACTTGCCACGTCCATCCGCTAGTTCCTTTACTACTACTCCTCCTCCTGCGCTGGCTGGACCCTTTGTTCCTCCTACCCTACCCTCCCTGCGACAGGAGAAAGCAAGACCCTGACGGGATGGATGGGATGTCTCACGGTGTAATCAATCACATCGCACACGCCTCGAGACGCCCTCTCTCTCTCTGCATCACAGTCTCTTGTGACGCCCTGCAAGTTCCATTGGGGACCTTTCAGAGGCTTGGCAAGACTCCATGGAAGTCCATAGGAGACGCCGAGACGGTGTGTATGTAGGTAAAGGGCCGGCGCGTCTCGACGTATTACGCGTACTCCGTCTCGGCTGTGCTCCACCTTTGTTTTACCGGTGCGATACCACTTGCGCTACACTGATCCACGAAGCATCTGATGTGTACAATAATGGGTCGAATGGCGGCCCCGAGCTCGAGGACATGCGCTCAGTACAGTAGGCTATCGGAGACACGCGCTCAGTACAATAGGCTAGGAGGTAGGTACAGGTAGGTGGACGGCCGTCGTGACATGGAATGTGGTTCAGCCTTAGATCGGCACGTGCGAATGGCAATGTTGCATTCACACGAGTTATAAACAGACAAAGGACGCTTGCGTGGCGAAGGCGCTGATCGGTATCCGGTGACGTGACTTAGCTTCACATCTTCAGACGTACAAGATGCCACTGCTTTGTCTCTTTGGAACCTCGCCATCACATCGACAACACTCGTTCGTTCTTCCTACGCTCCCGGCATCCACGCTCGCTACCGCACACATCGCCTGCACATTCCGCGACCCAAGCCAACTTGATACCCGAAACGAAGGAAAATAGCTGCAATGCATTTCACCTTGAGCGCAGGTGTCGCCTTGCTGGCTTCAGCATCGTTCACCCTCGCGCAAACCTACACCGACTGCAACCCTACCAAGAAGACTTGTCCAGCCGCAGTTGGTTTGCCATCTTCTTCATACTCAGTCGACTTCACGCAAGGATCAGCAGGTATTGCCCCCTGGTCTGCTGCGTCTGGAACAACTCTCGAGTATGGAAGTGATGGCGCCGTCTTCACGATCGCGCAATCGGGCCAAGCTCCTACCATCGCCACGGACTTCTACATCTTCTTTGGGCACGTTGACGTGACTATGCGCGCCAGCGCTGGCACCGGAATCGTCTCGAGTATTGTGCTCCAGTCTGCCGATTTGGACGAGATTGACTGGGAGTTCCTCGGAGGCGACAATACGCAGGTTCAATCGAACTTCTACGGCAAGGGAAACACTACATCCTACGATCGTGTCGTATACCACCCTGTTGCCACGCCTCAAGATACATGGCACACTTATGGTATTGACTGGACGAGCGAGAAAATCGACTTCTCCATCGACGGCACCGTGATCCGCACCGTCCCATACGCGAGCGCTGCAACTGTTGATGGCAAGAACTTTCCTCAGACTCCTATGCAGCTGAAGCTTGGCTCCTGGGCTGGTGGCGACAGTTCTTCTGAAGGCACTGTCGAGTGGGCCGGAGGAAAGACGGACTACAGCCAAGCGCCCTTCAAGATGTACGTCAAATCTGTCGACATCACAAACTACAACCCGGGCTGCGAGTACGCTTACTCCGACATGAGCGGCTCGTATCAGAGCATTGATGTCGTCACCTCGGGCGACTCATGCAAGGCCGATGGAGCGAGCAACAGTTCTTCTACCGCATCGGCTGGAAACTCCGCTACCGCCACCACTCAATCGAGTGCTCAACAATCGAGTGCTCAATCAAGTGCTCAATCGAGTGCTCAATCGAGTGCTCAATCGAGTGCCCAGTCCAGTGCCCAGTCGAGTGCCCAGTCAGCTCCCACCGCCAGCCAAGTAGTCAAGCCCATCGAGCAAACAATTTCTCTCCAAACAACCGTCACTGGATCAGCATACTCCGTCAACACAGCTAGTATCTCCGCGTTGAACTCGGGCATGCTACCCAGCGCCACAGCCACGAGAAATTCCAACGACGGAGAAGGAGCTTCTTCGTCGACTTCGGCAATCGCCAGCTCTACGGGAGCAGCATCTTTGAACGTGGCTATGGCTGGTGGCTCGCTTCTTAGTATCCTGCTCGGTGCAGCTTTGCTGTAAAGAAGAAGAAGGAAAAAGTTTCTATGAAAAATTACGATGGCGTTTATTATGGTTGGTGGGGCTGGTAGCTTGTAATGCTATGCAAAAAGCCAATGCATGTATGAATGAATGGATGGATGGATGGATGGGTCAACCTAGATATGAGACGTGTCTTCACAGACAACAGTGTGAAAATTCTTGTTTTTTGTTTTTCTTTTCAACCACTTGTATTAAAAAGACCCGAATAATAAGTCATGAAAACTTGTACAACACTTCAGTCTTCAATAAGAAATAATGATGCCGTATACTGCATTGTGCAAACCTACCCAAATAACAAAAAACTCAATATTTCCCAAATCTTCGAAATCGAAACCTACCGTACATCTGGATAAGGTACCTACATACACAAAGCACGAACCATATCCTATCCTTCCCAATCTATCTGTAAATGGTACAGTAAAGTAAAGTAAGGTACCTGAGGTTTGCATCATGACGATGACGATAATGACAATGATGATGATGGGAGTTGTAGACCTACGGACCAACCTACCTATCCGTTCCACGGCGACGACGTCTCCTTCCCAATCAAATGAATAGGATATCGGTCGCTATTTGGGACGAGTTGGAATTCCTCGTAATTTCGTGGAAGGGCGGAAATGGAATGGATATGTAGAAAAGGAGAAGAAGAAGATGATGAAGAAGAAGAAGAAAGATATGGATCATAGCCGCTCCGAAGTCGTTTGCACAAAAAGGTACCTTAAAGGTAAGGACACGCACGTGGGTCGCGACTGCCGGATTTGGAGAATTAGGTTGTTTCTATAAAGGGTCCAGGTGAAGTTAGTTACTTACGGTACGGTACCTTAGGTCTAGGTAGGTCAGGTAGGTAGACAAGAACAGTCTTCGCGGCACGTTGCGGGCATAACCAAATCATGCGTACCGCTGGTCACCTAGTCTTCTTTCAAGTCAACTGTATTGATTGTACTCACTGCCTGACCTGCCCGTACTTGGTATCCTGCGCGCTCGCTTCCTCTCTCTCTCTCTCTCTCTGACTCACACTCACACACTCTCTCTCTCTCTTTCTTCCTCACATTGCGGAGCTTGAAACCATCAACCCAACAAAAACACCACCACCACCACCACCACCACCACCACCACACACTGCTACGCCGCAACCATGGTCGAACGACCCAAGATCACATTCCACGAATGCGATGACTCTCGCAAAACAACCTCACCCTCCACTTCACGTCTCGCAAAAGCAAAAGAAGAACACCACCACCACCAACAACAACAACATGCCTCATCATCATCATCATCATCATCATCCTCCTTCTCCAGCAGCGCCAGCGTCGTCCACTCGGAACAGTATCTCGGCTTACCAGGCAGTCTATCCTTCGACACGATTCCCTCATTCCCTACAATAGGAGTAGATCCGCAGCGCAAGAACTACCACATTGTTCGAGACGATCTCGGAGGAGACTTTGGCAGGGCAAAACCTTTGAGCGCACCGGATCGATGGTGGGAGCGGGATTTGGCGACGCGGAGGCAGATGCTTTATGACATGGCGAATTCTGTGCCGGAGCCGGAGCCAGCGAAACCTGTGTGCGAAAATGAGGATGGTGATGGTGATGGAGGTGATGAGGCTGTTATCTTTGATGATGATGAGGAGGAGGAGGCTGTTGTTTCCGACGATAATGAAGAGGCTGTCGTCTCTGATGATGATGATGATGACGAGGCCGTGATTTCTGACAATGATGAGGCCATTGTTTCTGATGATGATGAGGCCGTTGTCTCTGATCATGGTGATGAAGCTGTTGTTTCTGAAGATGATGACGAAGATGCCCGTGTCATTGGCAAGTTCGGAATATGCTCGACATACGCATCGAATCGAGTCGAATCCGTGCACAGTAAGTCTTTGATGGTGATGAATTCCCGCCGCCCAGCAGCAGCAGCAGCAGCAGCAAGGCGGACGACGTCTTTTGGGTTTTTCTTTTTACTGATCGCTGGGGTCTTCCTTCCTTCAGAAACATATGAGCGACACGGCCAACCCAGCATGATGAACACGCTCGACCATCTCGAAGAGCAACTAGAACTCCACAAGCGCAGCCACAAACAAACCCAAGATCGACTCGAGTGGCTTACCAGAAATAGCCCCGACGACGACGAAGCCATGGAGTAAGTAGTGCCTTCCCTCCCTTCCCTCTCCCGGACGATTGACACTAATGAATTCCACCACCACAACCTTCTAGTTCAGCAGAAGTCTGGATGGAATATCACCTTCGCGAGTGGACAGACACCCGCGCGCGAACCAAACTGGCGTATCGAGACTTTCTCGAAACGAAACCGAAGCCCAAAAAGATGATTGTGAGATGGGATCTCTGCAAACCAGTCGAGGCTGCTGCCATTCCCCCCAAAACAACAACAGCAGCAGCAGCAGGCATCGTCGAGGCTCCAGTCGCGGCGGCGGTGGAAAATCCAGCTTCAGGTATGTGCAACCAGCCAATTCTTCCACCAGTTCTTCCACCGTTCGATGTGCGATGAAGATGATAACGAACATAACTAATAAATAACTTGTTATACAATCCACGCAGTTCAAAAAATCAACAGCAGACCCTGACAGACACGAGTTTTGTGGTCCGAGTTTCTCCGCGAAACGCTCTGGCCGCCAAATGGATGTAGCATGAGCTGAGAAAGAAAAAACAAATTCCAACAAAAAGGAAGAGAGAGAGAGATGTATATATCTCTCCCGCGGAGTCACTGTTATTTCGACGACGACGGCGGCGGCGGCGGCAGCAGCAGCAGCAGCTCATGGCCCAAGAGAAAGAGAGACAGGGCGGCTACTGATACTTCTGCGCAAAGGGAAGTTCCAGAGAGCTGCTGGTGATTGATTGGAATCAAATAATGGCAGCGAAGAGATGGGTGATATTGTGAGAACTTTTTCTGCGCAGTTTTTTGGGAACTTTGGATGGCTATCTCTTATAGCCTGTGGCCAACTCTGGAAGCGATATCCTTCCAGAGATGCAGACGTGGGAGCAACTATGGTAACAGATATGCTCTCGAGGGCCAGTGGAAGCGGACCGCTCTGTCCTCTATATGCGGGTTCACTTTGCACGCAGGCCATGCCACCGATCGAGGCACAGGTCACGTGCGTTCTGCAAAGCACGATCGGGAGTCCGAAATGGGAAGACGCTTCGCCCGATGCATCAGGCAGTCTCTGCCGCAAGTCCCAGGGATAGATAGATCCATAGCGACCGCCTGCAATATCCCGAGTGGGTTCGGAAAGGATACCTCAAGCTGGGCTGGGGCGTCCTTGAAATGGTAGAGAAACTTCTTCTTGACCATATGCCTCTCATTTTCAAATAATGATGGAAATCCATCCATCGCTTCTTCTCCCACTACGGAAGAAAACGAAAGAGGTTTCACATCTTCTACCTCATCTCCCTCAAGAAATTGTCCTCCTTGATCTTACTCCTCCTCTTCTCCCGCATCGCTCTCGTCAACTCCTCTTGCGCCTGATATGCCACTTTATTCCCCTCGATCGTGCCATCCGCCCCAGGAAGATCAATACTCTGCTCATACAGCGGAATTTTCGGCGCCAAAGATTCCGGATTGAGCAACTGTTGTTTCTTCAAAGCTTTGGCAGCTAATCTTCTCTGTTTTTTCGATTTGGCTAAAACATCACACGAGATCGGAAAAATCAGTCAGTCAATCAAATGACTCAAGCAGGCCGCCAGTCAGACATAGCAGGCAGTAAGTAGTAAGAGGAGAGGGTAAATGAAAAAAATCCACACATACAAAACAAATCCCCCTCATCATCCCCAGCACCAGCAGCTCCAGCACCAGACACATCTCCTTTCCTCTTCAACGCACTCCACAACCACTCCGGATACTCATGATCCTCCAATGCCACAGGATCTTGTTGATTCTTCAAAAAATTCAACCCTTTGAGCACCGTGCCCGCAGGGACACTGGAAGGAGAAGAAAGAACATTCTTCGCAGCAGCAGGAGTCTTTTTCGTTTTCGGCGGCGGTGGCGAAGAAGAAGAAGAAGGTGTGGTTGAGGACTGTGTAGGCGAGGTCGGTACTTGGCGGTCGTCGTGGATGGGTTGTTGTGCTTCTTGTTGTCGGGATGCGGTGGGAGAGGCACGCGTCGGAGGAGTGTACGAAAAGGTGCGGTGCGAGTGAGGGGGTCGGCGTGCGAGTCGCTGCATACATCTTCGGCAGATCATGATGATTGTGTGTTTGTGTGGGTGGGTGGGTGTGCGCAATATGGCGAGAAATGAATGCAGAGCTGAGGTTGGGGCAGGAGAGTGGTTGTAGGTAAGTACCTACAGTAGTGGCTTCGGAGGTGCTTGCGGGGAACGAAGCCAATCGCGTGCGAGGAAGAAGAACGAAAGACGAAAGACATACTGTAGGAGGTACATAGGTCCAGATCCAAGCACACCAAGTACGGTAAATACCCGTGATCTGATCTAAGCAGCATTGCCATACAGTGCTATATCTGCAACGACTTTCATGACACAATTCTAAAAACATAATAGGGTATAAAGGCACTCGTCAGAGTTTCCTGTCCGCCAACGAACGCCAGTCTCCCATGAAAATATGCCGTCTAGGCTATGTCGAAGCAGTAAGAGTGTCGATGCGTTCGTGTTGTGGTATCTCGAAATTAATCATTTCCTAATGCACCCTTACGCCGACCTGTCCCGTGATCCATCTAGTTGGAGTTTGCGCTCGACTCGCGCGACAAGGAAGACTTCCCACAATGTCGTCGACCCTACTCCATCCTCAACCGTCGTCTTCGTCATCCTCTCCGTCGTCGTCACTCTTCAATTTCTTCGAAGGGGTATCGTTCTTTGCATCGCCGTTCATGTCGCCTGCTTTCCGTTTAGCACTGTCGATGCCGCCATTGGCATGACTACTGTCGTCACCTTTTGCATCTTTGCTCACATCCGTAGGTAGAGTGCCGTTGGCTTCCATCTGGGCAACTTCATCGGCCGTGAGGAAACGGCCGCCCGGTCCCCGTGGACGCCGCATCGCGTGGTTATGGCGAGACTCGTGCAAGTATGGCTTCCTGCCTTTGGACGTGAGTCGCAGCGCCTCTTCGAGCTTCTGCCTCGCCATCCGCCTCTTCAATATCCGGTGGAACTGCTTGGCGTTCACATACAGGGGCGATTCTTCGTTTGCGCCAGCCACTGGCACTTCAGGCGACTGTTGCTGGGGAGCTGGAGGAGCTTGTGGCTGTTGTTGTTGCGTCGTTGGGCGCGGTGCACCCACATGCGCCTGGCCTGGCGTGTTATGCACAGCGGGACTGTTCACCGAATGCGACATTCTCCTGTGCTGGTCCGATTGCATCTGAGTGCCCATAGGCTGTGCGGAAGATGGCAAGTTCATCTGTGATGCTATTGTGCTCGGTACGTTCATCTGATTCTGTCGAGGTGATTGCGGGTTGGGCCGCCCATCGGTCTTGACCTGACCCATACGCGGAGATGTCTGTTGCAATGAGCCCGGTAAGGAAGAGTCTGGCATCGAATAGGCAGGGTATCCAGAAGCAGCTGCTGTTGCCATCGCAGCGGCTTGCGACGGTGAGACGTTGTACTGAGGCTGCATGCCATATGCTGGGTTGTAACCCATTTGCGGCATCATGTGTTGACCTCCAATCTGCGCGGGTTGCTGGTGCTGCGCATAGTTGGCTTGTTGCTGAGTCTGCATGACGGGGCTGGCGTGAGTCTGCTGAGGACCATTGTGCGTATGTGGATAGGCGGTCGACTGCTGAGGATGATACTGCGCGTAGGACTCCATGACGAACAATAGGAGGACCAGAGAGCGCGCGCGCGCGCAAAGTTCGGGGTTGGTTGGAGCAGCGGCTTGCTATGGCCGCGCGAAGGGCTGAAGCTGGGCACGCAATGAAATGTCAGCCTGTGATGGCAGCCCAAAGCAATCGCGACCAGCAGCAGTAGCGACACGACTCCCTGCAGACAGCGCGCAGTGTGTCGTGGGTGTCTGGATGGGCCCGCAAGCGACAATGGCTCAGTGGTGCGGTATGCGACGCGAGGCGGTGCGGCTGATGAACGACGAGGGTGTAGCGTACCGCTCACTGGCTGCACGACAGGAAACAGCAGAGCAACAGCGGCGACGGCGGAGACTAATATCCTATTGACCACACATTAGCCACGATTACTGGACGGACACTACGAGGTAGATGAAGAGGCGGGCTCGGGGAGGGCGGAGCTGGAGGTCTGCTGCAGGCGGGATGCTGACAGCGAACAGCACTGCCAGCACATCACCGCAACGAAGCTTTTCTCCAGGCGCGCTCGCACAGCCACATGTGACTTGTGACTGTGGAAGGCGGAAGATGGCATGGCCGACACGAGAGGTCACAGGTGGTCTGCTTCACGCGATCGCGGAGGGCCGAGCCACCAAGCCAGGCCAGGCACGGGGCATCGAACGCTTCGAGGGAGCTGCAGCGCGGCGCGTCCGTGACGTTGTTGCAGCCGCTGCTGCTGTTGTTGTTGTTGTTGTTGATGATGCGACGACGCGCAAAGCCTGTCGTGCATCGCGTGGACATGTTTTGCGACAGCGAGGGCACGCGCGCCAGAGCACACGTGAAAGGCAATTGAACTCACCTGGAAGTAGTAGTGGTAGTCGTCGTCGTCCTAGTGGCAGCGGCGCCTTTGCGATGATGCCTTTAGCTCTCCAAGGCAAGTCAGCATATCTGGTCGCGACTCGAATATTAGGTATGTAGTGTAGGTATGTCGAGTCCAGCCCCAGGCCATGATGTTGTTGCAACCAAGCAGTTCCTTAGGCATAAGGGTCGTAGAAGCGACTCGCCAGGGCTAGCAATAGATGGGGCAATGGGGGTTGATGGTAGGTTGGAGGCATACCTGTCTGTGAATGGGTACGGCTCTGGCCAATAGTCGCCCTCGAGGAGAGAGAGAGTTGTGAAAAAGCGAATAAGATGGATCGGAGGGCCAAAGCGACCAGTAAATGCCATGACCGTGCCCGCCAAGCCTCCCCGCTCCCGAGGCCCAAACCCTGTCTGGCCTTCGTGTTTCCTTTTGGGTGCTTGCGTGCTTTGCTTCTTCTTCTTCTGCTTCTGCTTCTTCTTCACAGATAGAGTGCATCTCTATTTATTTTTCACCTTTTTACTGAAATATAGTACATGTAAATTACTGCTTTGCTGTCAGTACCTTAAGGTAGTCATCATCTGACCGGGTTCGGCTACTGCGCTATGTTGGCTCTACAGTGCTCGTGCTCAGCCTCTTGGCCACACGGTAATATAATCTCATAGGGCATCTTACACAACCAAGCTTCTACAAAGTAAGACCACTTCGGCCAGGGTGTTCATTATGTCAAGGTTACTCGGAAACGTATTCCGTTAGTGCAATTGAAGAGCAAGTGAAAAGTTATACAGTATATGTCAATTCACGATAAGATAACCTATCGCCAGTAACACAGCGATGTGCTTACTGCTTAGGTACCTTATCTACCCTATAGTAAGGTACCAGACATGTAGGTACATACAGCTCGATGTCCACTGGTTTGCATAATGGAACGGTCTATCTTAAATAATCTCAGGTACATGTAGTCACACATCACAATCACACCTCCTGCCATCTACATACATCTACTGTAGTCCCCGATCTCGCTTACTCCAGTCGGCGAAGAAGCGTCACATCTGCGGTATAGTGCCCGTCGCATAAAACATAATCGATAGCATAGCACTCTGTTGCAGGGGACGTGCGTATTGCCAAAATCTCCGGCGAGAGTTGCGTCATTCCCGTGGACTGCAGTGTTGCATACATCTTGGCAACTCGTGACAGCATTTCAGAAGTGGCATCACCCCAATCCATCAGGAGAGAACGTACACATATGCACCGCATGTCATACTTCGGTACTAGAAGACGACATCGCGCTATCAGGAACCATCTCACGCTTCGAAGCCGACCATCTATACGCAATGCCATCTCCGACGTTGTAACGATAGTACTGGAGGGGAAAGCCGTCAGCGAAAACCTGCCATGTCAGGACAGTGTCCTTGTGCTCTTACATTTTCGGTTCCTGCTCGGATCAATGCCCTGCGGAATGTTATGCTGGCTATTATCAGAATCATATCACATGGCGGCGAAGAATAGGCACTGACTTGATACGGCCCTTGTGGGCATCTTTACCCTGGCGCTTGGGTATGCTGTGTAACCAGTTACTCTGGGTCTTGCCTCGCATCTACTCGCACATTTGCAGATCAGCATATGCCGGACAAGAGCTCAGGCGTACGTACCAGCAGCATATCACCGGGACCAAGTGGCATCTTTGTAGGCTTGGTCTCTGATGTATGGTTCATCGGCGTCGGCTTATGCTTGAGCAGGAAGTCACGAGCCTGGCCAAGTGTGAATGATGCTATAGCAGGGCTACGACATGGTCAGTAACGGTCCACGAAGGTATGCTATTCAAGACCTTACTCGGCTCCTAGGAATCGCTCATCATCGCTGTGATAGCTGATGCTATCAGAACCAGTGGCATAGTAATTGACCAGGGCAAAATTAAATCTACAGCCGGTGGCGTTTTCTGTCAGTTCCCGGAGCACATCCAGACATTGGGGCAGAGGTCGAGGGCAGCATTTGTAGCTGTCCTTTGCAAGAGGACTGCCAGAGATCGCGTGCGTGAGTTGACCGTCTCTGAACCGAGCAGTGTCGTCCACGCCGAAAACCGTCGTAAATCTTTCAGGAATAAACCTTGGTAAGTACTTGCGCTCTTATATTCATTGCCTCTCAACCCTCACCTCGGTGTGTTGATCACAGTCTCTACCGGCCCGCGTTTGATGGTGTATTTCACTCTCTTCCAAGTCAACCAATGTTAGCTTCGGGCAGCTTCCATTTTTCGAGGACTGTAACAAGAAACTCACGTAAAACGGCAACTCTGCGCGTAGAAATTCGAAGAGTTCAACTTGTGCCGCTTTAGGTATGAAAGGAGTGAAGGATAAAAGATCCAGCTCAGGTTGGTCATTGATCGCACGAGCTTCAGCAGCTGGGACAAAGTTGAGGATTTCTCGCAGCTCCATGGGCAGGTGAGTTATTGAGAATGGGTATGTTGCATGCCGAGAGTAAGCTGCGGACACGCCCTTCGTGTCGCCATGTTCATCGCGTTGCTCTTCTCCAGTAACATTTTGGGCTGCCTTGGGTCTTTTCAGTGGTGGTGGGCTGAAGAAGCTGTCGAGAGTTCGTACACGTTTTGACATTGATGGTTCAGTGTCTGACACAATGTTGAAACTTCAGGTAGGAAGAAGGAATTCCAGGTTATAGGTATATGTACAATATATGTTGTAGTTGCCCAAGATATGTACCTACAGGTACCTTAAGGTATATATACATGTACTTCGTAGAACTTTGTGTAAAGGTTTGATGACGCAAAGACAACATCTCGAGTCCTCGACACCAAACAAACGCGTCGTAGACGAAAGGCCAAAGTGGCGTTTCCCAAATTGGCGGTTCGATCTCGCTACGGAGAGCACCGATCTCCTGCCTCTGCTTCTCTACCTCTTCCTCATGTTGGTCGATCAGCTAAGGAGCGTCTTGAGGCTCTAGGCTACGTGCTCTCGTTACTACCTACAGGTAGTTGCCCTCTTCATCTACCGCCCTTTCTCCCATCTCTGGGCTTGGCACCCCCGCGTCGATGTCGGCAAGCCCGGTCGCACAGGTTGACAGGTCGCATACTAAACCGGCGCGATCCGCCCGGCACCCACCTCACCTCCTACCCGAATACATTCATCACTCTTGTTGTTGTTTATGTCGTTTTTTAACACTTCTACTACCTATATCATCCATCTTCGCTACCAGGAAGCTACCCGAACCGTGAGCTGCTGCTTCTGCAGCTTGGGCAGCGTTAGTTGTCGACGTCGCGTCCCTCCCTCCTCGCCGGCCAGACACCTGTTAGGTTATGAGCGGAGGGCTGATGATGAAGAGAAACGGGGTTGGGATCTCAGTATTCGCATCAGTGAGACAGAACAGTGAGTTGTACGCGATGACTATCTAGAGAGGCGATACTCATCGCTGCTACATACAAGGGAAATGTGCCGCGCTAGCCGTCCTTACTGCGACACGAACGCTCGTCGCGACATGTGCGATCGTTCTCCTCGCCCATCCTCCTGACACTTGACGACATGTTTATCCAATGATATGTGACGGCGACCCAAACCGTAACAACATCGCGCTCTTAATAACCTGTCAGATGGCCTTCTTTGACACCGCATTTTCCATCGCACGAAGGACCAGAAGGAGTTGTTCGGACTAGACTTTACGTTAGTATCTCCGACTTTCTGTGCCTCTTATTATACGTACAACTGCTTCCAATAGTGTTTTCTGCAGGAGGGAAGTCAGGGATGTAGGTAATAAGAATCTCCACTGGATGTCCGAAATAATGGCGCGGATCGGCATCGAGAGTAATCTCTGTGTAGCCGATTGCGGGTGTAGCCGTAAATGAAACACCAGTATCTCGGAGTATACTGTTGATAGTAATTCCTATTGTGACGCCGGTCGGATTGCCGTAGGCTATCGTTAAACCACGCCGTCCTTGACGTGGCCAGCCTACAACCACATTTGTGCCTGGTCGTATAGGGAGGCCTGGTAGATCGTCGAACGCGAGCATTCCGCCAATCTCTACGCGTTCTTCATTTGCACCGCAAGTAATGCTACCGCATGCTTGGGCGTTGCTGAAGCAGGCGAGAGTAATGGTAATGAAAAGACTAAGGAGCATTGTGCTTGTACGAGAGGACGAAGAGTAGTGTGTAGTAGATAAGAAGAGGTAGGCAAAGTAAGGCGTACAGAGGTAAGTATATATAATGTTATGAGCAACTCCTAACTTATAATACCCTTCTAAGGCTAAATAAGTTTGTTCAAGACAGATATGTGTTACGGAACTTTCCGTATAGCTAGGATCCTAGCCCTGTATACGACTGCAGAGATTACCATCCGGCTAGGAGTCGTCAAAGATAGAGAGGAGGTGCAAAAGCTACCCGCCGAAGCGATCGTACAGAAAGTGCAACAGATACATCCCGCATGCACAGAAGTCATCGCAGCTCGAAATCTTTCGAGCGGAGATGTACGACTGTACCTGACTAGAGAGAACGCGAGACATACGATCCTTCACGCGCCCGAATATGAAAAGAGCCCGGTGAAATCTGGAAAGAGGGTAGAGCAATACTGTCAGATTATATGATCTACCACGTCCCGTGCAGCCATCGACATTGAAAGCCCGGACGCGCTCCGCGTAATCGAAGACCAGAAATTCCAGAACCAGACCCTCTCCCCTAGGGTCAAGGTTGCGAAAGCCAAATAAGAGACCAGAACCAGACCCTCTATCCTATAGTCAAGGTCGCGAAAGCCAAACAGATTTGCCGGATAGGCCAGGCACACTAATCCCTCCTTCTCGTACTGCCGACAGTATAGAGTGCGGAATGTAAGCCCTCTGTATTTCTCATAAGACATGATGTCGGATTCCGTCAAGCTAGTACTGGTCCTAGCCAAAGTCTATACCCCCTAGAGGACAGGTACGGCCATCGTTATCGCTAGCAGGAGCTTCTACCGGAAGAGATACAGAGCTCGGAAGGCAACTTAGATATAGCCGCTTTGTACTTCTGGAGTGCCGGTTTAAGATCCTACTGCTCGGCTCGTAGAATCGAAACCTTCTGCCAAGTAATATGTCCTACGGGCTAGTGATGTCCAAACCTTAGTAAAATAGTAAAAGTAATTACTAATAAGTAATTACTTTTTACTAATCCCTTGGTTACTTTTACTTTTACTTTTACTTTTACTTATAACCTTTGAGGATTAGTAATTAGTAAAAGTAAAAGTAAAATAGTAACGATGATTTTACTAATTTCGGCTATACGTACCTATATATTTATAAGAAATAAGTAGTTTAGGAGGGATATATAGTAAGTAGAGGATATATATTATATATATAAGCTATCTATATAGCTCTAATAGCCTATATTACGCTATGTCTATTACGCTATATCTATTACGCTATATATCTATCGCGCTATATAGGCCTCGTTATAGGTTAGGTTAGGTATAGGTTAGGTACAACCTAACTTAAATACCTAACCCTACAAATAAGCTAGGTACCTAGCTTATAAGCGGGGTACAACCTAACGGTAAAAACCTAGTAGGTATACCTAATAGGTATTGCAATAGGTATTACATAATACGAGTTGAATATCTACGAAATAGTAGAAAATAATATAAATAAGGCATATATACCTACTATCTGATTCCTAGAGCGCAGATTTTAATAGGAAAATATTTTATACTTACTATAGCTGCCGACTATATATACCGACTATACATATAGACTAAAAAGAGATTACTAGAAAGGAAAGCTCTAACCAATTGATTATAGTTATAAGCTACTATATACTAAGGATAGAAACTACCTTACTTCTTAGTAAGTAGTATTACTATAAAGCCCTCTCTCCTACTACCGTCCTCGGGTAGACGATCGGATAGGCTCGGCTCGCGGTAGGTTACGGCGTAGCTCCGTAGTAAAAGGGGTAGGATAGGTAGAGATCCGGAAGGACGCGGAGATGCCCGTAAGTAGTAGGAAAGGTAATATTAGAAGACAAAGCGTACTATAGGGTAACGATATCAATTATAGTAGAGTAGGTATCCGTACGTCTACGTCCTGATTATGTCCGTCCTCTCCTCTGTCCTAAAAAGAAGAAAACTACCCTATATAGCTACCCGCCGGAAGTAGTACGGCCCTCCTAGGCCGTCCGGCTCTCGGCTCTACCCTAACGCCCTACGTAAAAGAAACACGCCTAGCCGCTTAATATACCCTCCCCTACCTATATGTCTATTCCGTAGACATAGGTATAACTAACCCTCCCCCCCCCTATCTAACGATTATATATAGAAAAGCAGACCTAAACGACCCGTCGAAAACAAGGCACCTAACCGTAAAAACCTAAACCCTTCCTATATTCGGAAGCTCCCGGTTAGGCCCCGGGGGCCTAACTAATATACTACCTATTCTATCTAGGATACATCGCCCTTAAGTATAGTACCGGAGCCTTCCTCTATATACTTAGAGTCGAGAGTAGAAAAATTAGGCTACGGTCGAAACTTAAAGTTACCTCTATAGCGGAAGTAACTAGCGTTCCTAAAGAGTAGTACTTCAGAATTACGAATATAGTCGAAAACCTTCTCGTACCTCTTAATAGCGTTCGCCTACTACTTAAGCTTATACGCCTCCTACTTAGCAAGAGATTTTATATAAGCAATATAGTTTAACTCGTTTATTACGTCTATGTCGGCCTAAGATTTGTAACTAACTAGAGCATCTAAGATTAGGCTAAGGCTATCTAACTAGGCTACGGTAGGAAATCGGTACGGAATTGGACTATATATATTAGGGTAGCCCGACGGGCTAGATAGTAGCGTAGTTATTATTCGGTATACCTCCGCGATCTACTAAAGGGTCCCTATTTTCGGGTTCTCTATCTCTCTAGTTTCTACGTTAGTAATAGCTACGAACTAAAGGAGGATCGTACGTTGTACGCCCTACGAAGGTAGCGCGCTATAAGGAATACGGGGGTCGGTAATACGGACGCTATATCGCTAGACCGGAGTTAGCTACTAATCTAGACCTATCTTCTTTCTTAGCTTAGACCCGAGCTCCTTATCCGTAATGTTGTAGATCCGGCTATTCTGCAAACGACCGGCGGCGCGGTTTACCTCTACCTACTTACGAAACGTCTCGTCCTAGTACATTCCCTAAACAAGTATAGTATAGTCCTTATAAGTCTCGTTATCGAACGATACCGAGCCTTAGATCTAACTAGTACCTTTGCCTACTACAAGATCTATAACATTGTAGTCTATATACTTAAAGCTATTACGACTTATATTCTCGTTACCCTTGTCGTCGCCGTACTAGTACTTCGCGTAATAAGGATAAGACACCAAACGGTAATTACCGTCCGTACGTAAAGAAGCGTACAAAGCCTAGTATAAGATGTCCTAGCGGACGAGCTACTAAATTACGCTATATATCTACGACCTGTTCTACTCTAGGTTAGAGCGACTATTCATACGACGGAGGTGCTATAAGTATATATCGAACTTATATTCGATATCCCCGAAGATCGTCTCGGTATACCTAAAAACCCCTTCCTTCGTAACTAAGCCGGTAAGATCGAACGTAGCCTAATCGCTAGCGTTAATTATAAATAATCGGAGCTTAGTAACTAAGGTTTCTACGTTAGGCGTAGCGGAGGGAGTAACTAGCATTCCTGTATATATTCGAGATAGGAACGTATATAGACTAAGCGCATTACCTATATACCTTAGATAGTAGGCTAGGGAGAAGAATTCCGGGTACTAATACTAATATTCTAGAAACTAGCTATTAATATAAGCTCTATAGACTTCGGCAATACGAGTAGTTAGTAGAGCTATAGCGATATTCGACTTAAGTCCGAACCTACGGCTTATAAATACCCTAGTATAGTACCGGTATAACGGAACCGGGTCCTCCTCTACTAGGCCTTATTATAGGTACAACCTACCCTAGTAGGTATGTAGGGTAGGTTGGGTATTAGCAATACCCAATAGGTATAGGTATTTAGCTAGGTATACCTAACCTATCGGGTTGGGTACAAACCTAGTAGGTATTACGATACCTAGTAGGTATTGCGTACCTATTAGGTATTGAATCTTCGTAAATAAAAAAAAAACCTAGAAACCGGGTACCCTAACGAGAGCGAAGAAGCGATTTATTTAGACTAGGCATAAGAAAAGAAACTGTACATAAACCCGATATAGATACGAAAGTAAAGATTATAGTTAAATTAAATAAAGAAACTCAGAATTATATATACGCTATACTACAAGTTGTGATATTTTGAATCTTAAGAAATATAGTCGGTAAATATAGTCGGCAGGTAAACTTTATATAAGCTTAAAGCAATCTCCCTATAATCGTCTCGTAGCATCCCGGAGGCACTCTTGCGCAAGCTTGAAGCTTAGGCGTACTAATCGCCTTAGCTCCTCTACTATATTACCCTCGTTATCGCTAATCGTATCTAAGTTACTAATCCGTTCTATAAGATCTTTCGTCTGCTCTCGGTCTTTACTAAGGATCTCCTATAAAGTTAGAGTACTAAGAAGCGCTTAGGAAACCTCTATAGCCTCCTAGGCGATAAGAACTCTAGTATCGTACTTATCGTCCCGATAGCGAAAACGAGATACTATTAATCTAGAGAATGTTGCTACGGTATATTAGCGATTAAAACGACTTTAGTATCGAGCGATACTAAAATCGCGCTTATACCTAACTCCGGCAGTAGGAATACAGAGAATATCCCGCGCTATTAATACGAGAGTAGGGTACTTAGACTCTATTAAAGACTACGTCTTTAGTACCTCGAATAGATCCCCTTTATCTATATCAGCGTCCAAATAGTCGGCGAGCTCGTTATCCTCGTTAGTACTACATCTTTGACTTTAAGAAGACTCTATACTCCTACTAAGAGTAAAGTCGATATAGCCTTTATACCGACTCCTTCTAAAACGGCCCTACTAGGTAGAGGTACTCGATAATAAACGATAGCTCTTCTCCTACTCTGCCCTTAGCTTACCCTCGTAATACGCGTAGTAACTTTTATCCCTAAAGTCATCGCGTACCTAGAACTTCCGCTTTAGGCAGGGGGTAAGGAGGACGCTAATACCGTAGTAATCGCTAAATCGATCCTA